AAAAAAAAAAAAAAAAAAAAAAAAAAAAAAAAAAAAAAAAACAAGGTATCATTCCTCACCTATCAAAATTGCACATTTTTTTTAAAAAGGCTAGCACCCTGCAGAGGCAAGTGTGCAGAAGCACAGGAGGGCCGGGCTGGCAGGCTCCCTGCCCCCATCTGGCCCCACACACCTGCAGCCCACATGTTTGCACCGTTTCTGCTTCTGGGAACGTGTCATTTGGGGGGACCTAATAGCAAAGAGCACAAGCTTCAGGGTCGGAAATGGGCTAAAACCCAAGCTCTGATTATTATCAGCATGACCTTGAGCCTCGGCTTTCTCTGCTGGAAACGAGGATAGTGATAGGGTTACCCTGAAGGGCTAGGCCGAGGGTTACAGCATCAGTCCCTGAAAGCAACGGCTCTCATGGCCGAACAACGTGTGACCATCACTATCCTCAGGACGTCAGCTGACAAGGGCACAAACATCGACCTTCAAGACGCCCACTGCAATAATGAGACTAGAGAGAAAGCACCTGAATGTCCAAGAACAGGGTAAGGAACAGTCGCCGTGCACCCTTGCCCTGCAGAAGATAAGTCTACCAAACGGTAAACGGAGCATCTTCACTGTCTCAGCATCTGCAGTCACAAGGGATTATCCTTTTTTATTGCAATTTTCCATCTTTTCTACCTACATTTTAAAGTTAAAAGGCTTTTTTATTTTAAAAAAAGAAAAATTTAATTTTAATTTATCCAAGTCTGTATCAGTCAACATGACAGTGTTTAAGGGGCTCTTCACATAGAAAGAAATCACATGGCTCTACTGCCTCCATGCTGAACAACAGTATGACAGTAAAGAAGGGGCGCAGGGCTCAGCTGGGCAGGAAGAGAGGCCTCTACAGTCCCCAACGTGTCACAGACATGCAGCGGCCACAATGACCCTGGGGACCTGCACCATGACGCTAGTGGGAACAGAGGACCAGGGTAAGTAATCAGAACAGCAGCCAGCAACTGCTGAGTCCTCACTGCGTGGACCCTGCCAGGGTGCTCTGAATGCACTGCCCTCTCACACTCTCCAGGGGGCATCACCCTCCTCACAGACAAGGACACTGAGGCTGGGGACGGCTGAGTCACTCGGTGGCTGGTGCAGCAGGATCAGTCAGAGGAAGGAAGGGGCAGGCGAAGCCCCAGAGGAAGAGGAGACAGTGTCGGGAGGAAGGGCCCACCACGAGCACATCACAGACAGGACAGAGGGGCAATGGGATCTGTATTTCCCAGTAATCACGAGGCTACTAGATGGGGCAAGGCTAAGGCAGGGAAACTGGGGAGGTGGCTGCAGCTGGAAGCCAGAAGGAAAGTAGCTATGTGGAATCACAGAAAAGTGTGTAAGTTTTGGAGATTTGGAAGCTGTAATTATGACGCTATATCCTCTCCCGCCTCCACCCCATGGGCCAGGAGGAAAGTTCTCAGGACATCACGTCAGCCATGAAAGTGGCCCAGGAGTTGTCATGGTAACTCTCGTTGATCCTCTGCCGCCCCCCACCCCCAGGCAACAGAGAAGCCTTGGGGAGAAAGCCCAGGGAAGAAGAGTGAATGAATGGATGAATGAACGCACGGACTTAGGTTTTAATACATGAGGAGACTAGGAAAGCACAACTAGAAAAAGAGTTAGATCCTGGGCCGGCCCCATGGCTTACTCGCGAGAGAGCGGCACTGATGGCGCTGAGGCCACGGGTTTGGATCCCATACAGGGATGGCCAGTGCACTCACTGGCTGAGCGTGGTGTGGACCACACCATGCAGAGGGTTGTGATCCCCTTACAGGTCAAAAAAAAAAAAAAAAGAAAAAGAGGAAGAGTTAGATCCTAATTCTCATTACAATTAGAAAAGCACAGTTCCCGCAACTGATGACAGGAATCAGATAACGTTCGCACATCCCATTCATTCATTTATCCAATCCTGAAGGTGTACCCCTGCAGCTGGGCCCTCCAGGGACTGTGGTAACAAGGCAGACCTGGCACCTGCCCTCATTATGGTCAAAGGAGCAGAGTGACATTAGCCAGGAGGTTGGTTTGCAGGAGAAATTGATAACCAAGTTTGATTTTAAGAGTTCACTGATGGGCCGGCCTGGTGGCACACTCCGTAGAGTGCAGCGCTTGGGAGCGCAGCAGCGCTCCCGCCGAGGGTTTGGATCCCATATACAGACCGGTCCGCTCACTGGTTGAGCATGGTGCAGGCGCGACACCGAGGGTTGCGATCCCATTGCCGGTCGCAGTACGGGCATGACACCGAGGGTTGCGATCCCGTTACCGGTCACGATAAAAGACAAAAGGATAAAAAAAAAAGAGTTCACTGAGCAAATGCCTAGCACTACAGATTAAGACTTTTTGGAAAATCTTTTTCTTTCAGAAAGCAGAGAACACAGCAGTGTTTTTAATTAGTGAACCAAGAAGCCATCCAGTCCAGGACAGGACAGTGACCAACACCACAGTGACTCTTCTCACGAGGGATGCGGCCACCTGCCCTGCTTGTCCTGCAGGAAAGCCACTACCTTCATCTGAACAGCAGCAGATCCAATGAGAAGCAAGGAGTCCCCATCCCAGACATCAAGCTGCAGGGTCTGCGCAGCCAGGTAGCGGAGGAACCAGCGCTGCTCTCCAGGTTTTAGGTATCCGGGGTCCACCATATACTTCAGCTGGAAGCCAGGAGACCCTGTGAAGAAAAGGCCCAAATGAGTCCAAAAGTAATTACAGCCATTTGTCATCTTTCCACTTGAGGACATTTCCACTCTGGTCATGATTACTAATTTCTGCTTCCATCATAGTTACAGTTAAAAAACACATTAATCAAAAACATCATAAAATATCCAAATTAACAAAAAATGAAGAGCCCTGTTCAGAAGACTACATTTCTTTCCAATATATATGATAAACTCCTCCCAAAATAAGATTTGTGTTTCACCAAGTCCTTGTAAAACAGTCTATGATGGATGCAACCAGCGCACTGATGGGGCTCATCAGGGAGTTTATTATTCTGGGCACAAAGAATTTAAGGAAAAATGTAGTCTATATGTACCATCGACACCAGACCCCCCCCACACACACACACACACACACACAGCGCCAGGCTGAGACAGAGCCCCTCCGTGCCTTGTTCAGGAGGGCAGCGGCCTGGGGAGTCGCAGGGCTCCTCTTTGGGGTGCGCTCCCGGCTTGTGGCTGAGAGATGGGAGCTGGAAGGCGGCCTCTGCCTTCATCTTCTTCAAGTGGCATCATCATTCATCCTACACTGACAAAAATGCCACTGGAATCGTCATTAGTTAAAGCGCAGGCAACAGCCATGTTGGAAGCACACTCAAAACAGCATTGCTCTTTTCCATCAGTGGCGGCGACAGTGTTTATGGAGACCTGACAAGCAGAGGCTGAACTCTGGTCTGGGGAGGAGGGCGCCTGCTTACTTAGCACCCCTGCCACCGGGCCCACGTGACACTGAGACTCAGAACGGTCTGGCCATGGGTCCTCTCCACCCCACCGCCAGCCACCTCAACCCATGGCGGGGACTAAAGACTAATGTCCCATCTGTTTTCCTCAAGAGTAGGGGACAGTGCTTTCAGCAGCAAGCCTGAGTGCAATGGGTCAGGACAGGGGACACTGCCTGAGATGCTGGGCTCCAGCACTGGGGGGCTGAGGGGCAGCAGGGACTGGAGTGCTCCAGGGTGGGCCAGCTGCTTAAGTTCCAACCATAGAAGGAATCAAAGGCACATCTCACAGAGTGGAAAGGCAAGTAAGGAATCAGGACAAAGATGAGGAGGAGCTGGCAGTAAACATCACACAATGGCAGGCATGTCCCCAGTATGTCATCTCAGAGGTAACCAGACCAAGTCACGCCTCACCCCCATTCCTGCCCCACCAGCCAGCTCTGAGGACTGTGGCACCTGGTTAGAGCTCAGGACACAGCCATGCACACACGGGAGCCTCTCAGTACTTCTCAGAGGTACAATGGGCCCTGGAACGAAGACCCTGAGCACCAAGCCCAGGCTCGAGCACTAACCACAGGGCTCCCACCCACTGCTGGCCTGGGCTGCTGGGGAGGAGCAGCAGGGGCCCTCCCTCCACACCAGCCAGACCTATGCCGGTGGTCTTCCCAAGTGACACCCAGGGTGCTTCTGCACCCCCGCCACAGCCTCTCCTGCACCACGGACCCGCACAGAGTACTAGGTATACCCTGAATGCAGCCCCTCCCTACAGTCTTCTCCCCAGCCAGCTCCTCCAACACCCCGTGGGCCAGCCTCACTCAATACCACTGCTACATCCCATCATTGTCAGGTCCTTTCAATACCACCAGGTCACTGCCCTTATGGAGCTCAGGGTCTTGGGGAGAGACCAACACAACCCAGAGCCGATGGTGTGCTGGGTGCTCCTGCAGGGGAGGCGTGGCAGGCATCGGGCCATTCTGGCCTGGGCAGTCACAGGCTCCACAGACCAGACCTCCCAACATTTCCCCCTGCAGGCTCAGACCTCTGTATTCCTTTCCTGCTTAAGCAGAGGGTTCCTCAGTGGCCATCCCTGAGGTCCAGCCTCCTATAGCCCACCCCACAGCACTGCTGAAGCACCTGCCCAGAGACCCTTGTGCCATCTCCACGTTGCCCAGAGGTCTCTGATGGCACCGACCACAGGCTGAACTGAGAATACACTCCCGGGGCAGTGCAACTGCCTCACCCCCTGCAAGAACACTGTGCCCCAGCCCAGCTGGAATCCATGCTGCTTCCTCCGGGCAGCCCCACACCCAGGTACACATCTGGTGGGTGCTCCTTCCCCTGTCTGGGTGGCCCTCTTCCAGCCCTCTTCACAGCCTCCACCTTTCCTCCTGTTCATGCAGGCATCCAAAACTCCCTTGGATGACGGACACTTTATAAACATCTGCAATTCATAATAAATGTCTAACATTTCTGAATATCTGCAGAGAAATACATGAAAACACAGTGATGATGGAGACTAACCACTTTCGTTCACAGGCAGAGCCAGTGGACAGTAAATAAGGATGCAGAAGGCCAGAGCAGCTAGCCTATAACCTGGAGCACATGCTGATATGAATCTAACACTATCCCCCAGTAGCAGAGTATACATCTTCTCGAGTGTATTTTGAACATTAATAAAAAACTGACTGCATATTAGGCCACAAAATAAACCTAAATACACTCCATAAGTAGAAATAATACAAAAAGTATTCTCTGATCACAATACAATAAACTAGGAACTAGTAACAAAAATTTTTTAAAAACAAATTCACAACTCACTCATAAATAACTATATGCCAAAGGGCAAACACAATCAAAAAGGAAAATTTTCCAGAAATAAGAAAAATGAAAACACTACTTATCAGAATCAACCAAACATAAAGCGGTAATCAAAGAAAAATCCCCACCCTTGAATAGTGCATATCGACAAAAACAAAAGAATTAAAATAAATTTAAGCAACTAAAAAAATTAGGATGATAACAATAAAGAATGCCAAAATGAAAGGAGAATAAAAGAAAAAATTGTAGTAAAGATAAACACAAATTATAACTAATTAGAAAACAAGGAAACAGCAAAACCGATACGAGGTCAACTTTGAAGCTCTCTGGAAAGACACAAAAGTAGAAATGAGCATATGGAGTGGCGCCTGGCTCCTGGATGGAACACCTCCCAGCATGAAGGTGCGGCTCCTCCCCACGCTAATCTATAAATCTCACAGAATCCCAACAAGACACTAACAAGTTTCTATGGAAACTACACGAGCAAGCATACTCAGGGAAACCCTGCAAGGAGGAGCAGGTGGGGGACTCGCCTGGCCACAGATGAAACCGCAAGGCCCAGTGAGACGGTGCTGCATCGACGGTGGACATAGCCAAGCACAGAGGTCGGCAATTGCAGCCCACAGGCCTGCTCTAGCCGTGAGCTAAGAACAGTTTCCACATTTTTTAAGGGTCATAGCCTGGCCAGTTAGCTCAGTTGGTTAGAGCACAGTCTTGCAACACCAAGGTCAAGGGTTCGGATCCCCATACTGGCCAGCTTCCCAAAAAAAAAAAAAAAAAGAATTATAAAGCATTGTAAAAAAAAAAGAGAAGAAAATGTAACAGGGACCATATGTGACCCAGAAAGCCTAAAATATTTACTATCGGGCCCTTAACAGAAGACAGTCAACCTCTGGTCTAATGCAACAAATTAGAAAATCCAGAAATAAACCCAAGTATTTTAAAACGGTTGGTATTTGATAAGGGTGGCTCTCAAGTCACTGGTGAAAAGATGGACTTTTTAACAAATGGCACTGGGTCAACTGGATAGCCATCTGAAAAAAGATAAAACTGGATCCATATCTCTCATCACCCAACAGGATAAACTGCAAACTGAGCAAAAATCTAAGTGTAAAAAAAGAAACCTATGCATCTCCGAAGAAAACATACCTAAATCTCTCTACAATGAGGGAGAGAAAAACCTTTCTTTCCATGACTCAAGAATCTAGAAGCAATAAAAGACTGATACACTAGATTACATAAAAACAAAACTTTTTACATAGCAAAACCCACCATAAGCAAAGTGAAAATAGAAATGACAAAGTAGGAAAGCACATTTGCAATTTATATCACAAAGATTAATCTCCCTAGTAAATAAAGAGCTCCCCCAAATACAGGACAAAATAGACTAGAAACCTGATAGGAAAATGTGAAAAGATACAAATAGAACTTTCACAGGAAGAAAGAAAAATATAAAAGATGCTCAACTTCACTCATTATAAAAGAAGTGCAAATCAAAACTTCACTAACATTGATTTCACATCTATCAGATTATAAAACTCCCAAAGTGTAACAAATCTTCTGCAGGGCGGGGTCCTGAGGTCACAGCAGCCTCTCACACTGCTAGGGGAGCACAGAGGGTGACACCCTGACAGAGCTGATCCCACTTCTAGAACCAGAAGCACAAGATTACCTACTGCTGCATTACTTGAGGTAGCAAAATATTGGAAATAACCCAAACGTCCACCAGTTGGGTAAACTACAGAGCAGCCACCACATGGCGTGCCGTGCAGCGCAGCTATGGGAAGAGTCCAAACAGAGTGAAACTCAGATGTAATGCAGACTGAAAAGGGATAGATGCAAAAGAGTGCATTTGGTATGTTACCTACTGGATAAGAAAAAAATGCAAGTAAAAATATAAATTGATGCTTATTTTTGAAAAAACAAACAAAAACCCTGGAAGGATAAACCAGAAACTAAAAACCAGGTTCCCCTGGGAGGCCAGGGCTTGGGGAAGAATGGGTAAGGGTGGCAGGGGCTTTGGTGTACATCCGACTACAGTCTTATATTTCGAGCCACATAAATATCCTAAATTATTAAATCAAAAAGGAAGGGAAGCAAACATAAACTGAAAGCAAAGTGAAACAAATGTATCTTACTGAGTACCAAATTGGCAACATGACCTCCACAGAGAAATGAATCATCTGCAGGACTCTGGGTCAAACACTGCTGACTCTGCACCCTCAGTGGGATAGAGCCAAGATGAAAAGGACTGCAAAGCACCTGAACTTCATCAACATGCCTTGTTAATTTTATCAGCAGCAATGCAATTTTGAAAATACATTAGGTAGATTGTAAGGTTAAGTAAATAAGTATATTATCAGAAACAACTTTTCTGTGTAAGAAAGATACAAATAAAATAAGAAAATTTAAGGAAA